CACTACAATTTTATCAGCTACTAATACTTTTCATTTGAAATCTTTTTTTTTTCTTGTTTTACACTAATTAGATATGTCCGAGAATTGGGATTTCAGTTGTTGGTGTTAAAGCAGAAGGCACAGATGAATATGTAAATTGTGTGTGTCGGGAAAGCATGTAAATACTTTTCTGTACTTCAGTATTAGTTAATATTTTCTGTGACTACCAGCTTTCTAGCCATCATCAGAATACAGTGGTTTCCAAGAACTGACATCCTTTGCTTTCTGCTATTGTTGAGATGCTCAGTTGTTTTAAAAGGCAACCAAAATGTCATTATATTACTTTCTTTTGTTGCCTCAGGAATGTTGTGAGGTTATTACGGAAAGTATGAATGGAATGTGAAATGGCCCACAATACAATCTCTGTTTTTAAGGAGTGTTTGACACTGAAAGTTTTAAAACTAACACTGTGAACTTAATGTACTGTGAATCAGTATTGACTGCTCAGGACTTTTCCTTCTAGGAGCTTGTTAGTTCGATCACATGAAACTTCTTTCTGTTTGTTTCCCTTTTGAACATGCTTAGCTTAGTGCTAAAATCTCTTGGGATTATTTGAATAGTAATTGTGAAGTGGGATATTTTCCCTTGAAAACAGGCCTACAAGTGTAATCATAGTAAGCCTTGGTAGTGCCACACTTACAGTGTGTTTTGGTGAAATAGGTATTTGAATACTTTACTTGTATATTTAGATCCAACTGATGGATTATTTCTATCTCTGCTTCCCCTGCTTCCTTTTGTCCTTGCATTTGGGCTTCTGCTACATTCTTTGTTTTTAGTTGAAAATTTGATATCGATAACTGGTCTTCATTTTTTTTCAAACTGCTTTTCAGTTTTATGACATCTCACTAAAATTAAAGTAAAATATTAATTCTGGGGAGGTTTGAGTGTAAACAACTAAACACTTAAGATTAACGGTGTTGATTACACTCAGTGAAGCCATATCTCTGGGAGCTGCGCAGGCAAGGGTTGCTGGCATCATTCTGAGGGTGGAGGCTTCACTGCCAGCTTTGCTCCCTGGGGAAGCTTTGCTGTGAGTAACTGTGTCTCCTCTGAGATTTTCTGTGGTTAAACAGTTACCCTGTTAAGCAATTTTTAACATCGCTAACTAATATCAAAAGAGCTTGAATATAATGTAGAAGTTTATTTTACATTATTTTTGTTATTGAGACAGTTAAAATTTTTAGGTTTTTAATAAAATTTAAAACTGTGGTACATCTCTCCATTTTCTTAGAATACACAGATTTAATTTTTCCATGTAAATTAAGAAATTGGTAATTCAAAATAACATGCAGCCTTGGTTTCCTTCATGAACCCTGAACAAGTCAGTAGTTAATTGTGTAATGATCCACAGAGTTTATTTAAGCTGGGGATTGAACAATAGGTATGACGCATTCAAAACAATATTATGAAAGTTTACTACTTTTCCCCTTTGGTAAGAGGAGACGTTAGTGTATTGTATCCTTTAAAGATGTTAAGAGGCAGGTAATTCACTAATCGTGTAGTCGATAGAATTTGAAGAAGCACTCAGTCCTGGCTCGTGTCAGGTCCAAGAGCTACTCCCACTGTGGCTTTGCAGTTTAAACGTTGTAAGATCTGGGCGAGCAGGCAGTCAGGCTCCTACTACATTTAAACGGCAGAGTTGCAGTGGGAGTAGCTCCCGGACCTAGTGCAAGCTGGGGCTGAGCTGGGTTGCCTTCCTGGAACTGATTCTGTAAAGACTTTCCTGCTGTTTATAAAATACTTAAGCTTTTATTTAACACGATACAAGATATAGCATCATTAGTGCAACTGTATTTAATACTAACTTTTAACACTGTTTACATTTACCTACCTTTTTTTTTAAAAGAATAAATGTGCAGTTAAGGTGAAATAAGTGATCGTGTCTCTTATGTCAGGATGAAATATCCAGGGTGACATTGTTGGCGTGAGGGATGTGGAAGGTTAACCGGTAAGCACCACCCTTAACGGGGCCTGCTATAGACAGGGTCTGCTCCAGTCGTCCAGAGCAGCCTCTCTCTTTGGCAGGCCTGGACACCCAATAGGCAGGGGTTGTTCCAGCCTGGCTGGAGGCATCCCTTCCCACTGGGGCTGGAGTTTGCCCTCCTGCCTGTGCCCCCTTTTAATTGATTAACCAGTTAAATGTAATGTTTAAGCAGTTAACTAATTCAATGGGATTTTGCATCCCTAGTTGGCATACACTAAATGTTTGCATAATTTGGAAACCTACATACAGCTGTTTTTACCTAGATGATGGCAGAAATGCATGCATCACAAATGCCTGCTTTCTCTTCATCTGTCCAGTTTTTATTATGAAATATCTGGACAATAAAGCTGCAAGGTATTTCATAGCAAAAAGTTGCACTGAGACGGATCATTTTTCTGTAGACAGCCTTAAAAGGAAAGAATTAAGAAGAAATAGGATATAGGTGTAAAGAACTGTCATAGGAAAAAAATTCTGCATGCAGTAGGAAATTAGAAATATATGGAGGGGAATGCCTGTGTTCTGCACTTTCATCTGAAGTGAAATAACCCATGTACTAGGGTAAAGGAGCTATTTATAGATAAAATTATGCTTTAAAATGTGAGCACATTACAATGTTAGCTGTAACAAACCTCAAGATGACGTTTCTAAAGAATTAGGTTTGATGAGATTAGCTTTCTGTGTCTGCATTGTTGACCGTTCCAACCATAATCTCATATTGTTGGAATTTGAGCACTTACTTCCGTACTTAAATATATATTTAAAAGGGAGTAAGGGGAATTGGATAATTTGATTAGAAATAAGAAAACAATGCACTTACTGATGTAGAAATTAAAATTTATTATAGTAGTTACTAGGGATGTGAACGTGTAACCAGGCTCACTGATTAATCATGTGAACAGTTACATGCAGCCCCGCTGCCTCTGTATCAGAGGTAGGGGAGAGTGGTGGGAGCCGGTGCATGTGGGGAGCAGCTGGGGACAGATTTTAAAAACTGGATCCCTGTGTGTACTAGCTCCTGAAAACACCTCCCCCACGCCCCGTTTCCCCACTTGTAAACACTGTTAATTTCAGCAGTTACACATTTACAAAATTAAACACATTTTAACATCCTTGGCAGCTACATGAGATGGAAGTTTGGATAGGGAATGTGTTTCTCTCCTCCCTCCCCCCAGTTGGAAAGAACAGTTTAAGATTGTTTAGCTTGATCCACTATCATTTGGGAGACACCTTTAACAGCCATTAGGAATATTCCATAATGTACACTTTTGATAGCACTTTTTTATTGTCAAGTTCAAATTTGTAGTAATTATGAAACACAAAAGGTCCTATAATTTCTAAAGAACTTTTAAGGTACGTATGTCAGAAATTATGTGGAAAAGACTTAATTTGATTCCACTGTTTAACTGCAATTATAGAATACAATCTGTTCATAAGGATAGATCTGCAATTAAGTTGGTATCTTGGTTTATTGTTGCTGTTTGAAAAATTGTTTTAGTACTTTTTAGTCCTTCTGTAATATGGAGAGAGTAAGTTTTCCCATGTTGTGTACTACTTGGCCTTAATATATTTCAGTCAGTATTTTGTTAGCTTGCACTTGGGGGGAGGTCTGCTTAGCACAGTGGTTTTCAAACTGGGGAATGAGAGCTTAGTCTACATAGCTTTTCATAATGGTTAATTGTAGCAGATTGAGTATTTATTTCTGAACTCGTGATGCGAGGCACATTTCTGTAGTGTGCTTTAGGTGCAAGCTACATCTTGTGCCCCTTCCATGAATTTCAACATCTGCCCATGAAAGATAAAGCGTTCAGAAATTCAAGGACAGTTAGAGGACAAGTTATCTAGCAAATGAATTTGCAGTAACAAATGGTTCTGTACAAAGGCGGTAAGAATATGGGATTATTAAAACTCCTCGTGGAGAATACACAAGTTATTGTAATTAAATTCCCCATACAAACAGTACTGGACACGTTTAAAGGTTTCTTTAATTTGCCAAATTAGTCACTTGAGAATAATGGTTCTCAATGAGGGGTACGCATACTGCTGGGGTTACAAGGAGGTCTTCCATGTTGTGCGTTGCCTTATCTAGATATTTGCCTAGTTTTACAATAGGTTACATAAAAAGCTGTGTATCAGAGGCAGGAGCCAGTGCCAATGGAGAGCTGGCTTTAAGCAGGCTTCTCACTCTACCCTGGCGCTGCAGCATCTGATAGAGAGGCAGCAGTGCATAGAGAGAAGGGGGCAGGTAGGAGCTAATATGCATGGGAAGCAGGCTTTTAAGCCGGCTCTCAGCACATGCTGGCTCTGGATTCGCCTGGCCCACCCTTTCCTGCCTTCTACAGAGGCAGTGGTGGGGCAAGTAGACAGAGGCAGCAGTAGCACAGAGGACGGGAAGGTGAGGCAGCACTGGCTCCTATCAGAGGCAGCAGGCTGGGGTGAGAAGAGAGGGGAGACTGCCACGAAGAAGCCTCTGTCCACAGCAGCTTGAACTGCCCCACGGACAGAGGCTGCTGCTACCCTGTGCTGCTGTCTCTGTATCCCTCTGGTCTGCATGGGAATAGGGATGTTAAATATCAGTTAATTGAATAGTTGAGTAACCTCATTTCTTATCGGTTACTTGACTATTCAGTAGTTCCCAGGGGCGGGTCTGGCAGCCAGTGTACTCCAGCCTTCACTCCCGGAGAGCCATTCTGCACTCCTGCCTCTGTATCAGAGGCAGCAGTGCTGGGTGCCAGAAGGGAGCTGGTCCATGAGTGGAGCCAGTTTAAAAACCAGTTACCCTCACAGACTGGCTGCCTGTCATCCTGTGCTGCTGTCTCTGATAAAGAGGAAGCAGTGCAGAGTGGCAGCAGCCCCTCTCTAATGGGGGTCTGAACTCCCAGATCTGGCATGATATACTTTAAACGCAGAGCTACAGCATGGGTAGCTCCCAAACTTTTTGCAAGCCAGGACTGAGCTGGGCTGCTGGCCAGCCTGCTAAAAATTTACAGGGGGAGAAGGGGTGGAGAAATGCATGTGGTCTGTAGCATTAACCGATAAGCTCTTGCTTATCAGTTATCGACTACACTATTGCATCCATATGTGGGAAAGCTGGGTTTTAAATGACTATTCAGTTACACTATCTGACATCCTATACTAGACACCAAACTGCAAGTACAATATTTAATACTCCAATTGATTTATAATTTTATTGTAAAAATGAGTGAGATTTTTTTCAGTAATAATGTGGCATGACACTTCTGTATTTTTATGTCTGATTTTGCAATCAAGTAATCTTTAAATGAGGTGAAATTTGGGAGTACTCAAGACAAATTACGCTCCTGAAAGGACTAGAACCACCTGGAAAGATTGAGAGCCACTGCTTTTAGTAATCTTCTCTCGTTCCCAGAACTCAAGCATGTTACTTGCACAGCTGCTCTTTAAGAGTCACACTTAGAATTGAACTAATGTGTGTCAAATTTATAGCTCTAGGTGGAAGCCCAAACAAAACTAAAAAAGTGTAATGGAATATGGTTAATTCTTATGACTGTTCTGTAGTACACAAGACCTGCAGCCTCAAAGAGAAAGAAATGAGAATATTAAAATCTGCATGCTGCTGAAGTGATTCCTCTTACTTTTCATGAATTCCAGCCTATTTGAAAACAATTGATTTAATCTTTTTATTTATTTTCTGGTACAGGAATTAAAAACTACTCCAACTGGCCTACCATCCCGCAAGTATACCTTAACGGTGAATTTGTTGGTGGCTGTGACATACTCCTTCAGATGCATCAGAATGGAGACCTAGTGGAAGAACTTAAGAAGTTGGGAATCCGCTCTGCACTTCTGGATGCAGAAAAAGACCAAGACACAAAATAAAACAAGCAAGATATTTCATTTTAAAAGATGCTGGGACTATGATAAACAAGATCTTACACAATTACTTATGACCAGAAAAGCCTTATGGATTATCTGAAAGGAGGCATTTTTTTGAACTGACACTGTTTGTCTATCAGAAAACAAATAGCTCATGGTACAGTATTTCTGGTATTTTGGTTTAAGGGTGTTCTGTTGTGAAAATTTGATTATAACCACTGCACTGTAATTCAAATGTCTGTGGAACTGAAGTAGACAAGCGGACTACTTTACTTGTGTTAATTCTTCTTGCCTGAGGCAGGAGTAAATGAAAGATTGTAGAAAATTATTTTTATGGCTCTTCTGTGTATATCACTTGGTTTGTGCTTTGATATATAAACCTATGTAGATAGTGTCCTTAGCTTTTTTGCTGTTCTTGAAAAAGCTATCAAATAACCGCTATCATTCTGTGAAACACTTGAACATAGGATTTCTTGGGAACCTGTAAACTTGTGCACTTATGTAACCTACAAATCTTTTTCTAACAAACTAGAAGAAAATAGTGAGGAGTGATCTACTACAGGTGAAAATAAATACACTAACAAAAACTAATTATCTTGTGGTTGTTATTGCTTTGTTTCCCAAATTGTAGGTTGTGATTAAAAGGGTTTAAAGCCATTTTCTATTCTCCCTCTGCCAAAAATGGCCTCAGTTGTTACGCTTAATCAAATTTCACTCTCCATTATCAGTGTTCAGATATGGACATTCTGTAACTTTTTTCCTTCTGGACAAGAGAGGGGAATAACTTTGAAACCATGAATGTAATCTTGTAGTAGTACTTGTAAGCAGCTTCACTCCTTAGCTTTACATTGACAAAGATTCATTCCTACTTGACTGCTGTGCCACAAGGGTGTGGTCTTTAAATATGAAATAAAAGAAACAGTTCATTTGTTTGTGCTCATCTGTACTAGTACCTAATCTCCTAGGGAGATGGCAGACTTGTTCACTGGATTTTTTTTCTGTTTTCTGTGAAGTGTGAAACTCCAATGTTCCAACAAATAAAAATAGTCATAGAGTATATCTGAAAAAAATAGCAATTTAAATTTAGTAGTCTCTCAAGACTGGCTGCTATTTAGTTTTATGTGTAAAAGTAGCATTTGCTTATGGATTGAGCAAATTACCTGAAAAATAATTATCTTGAGATTGAATTATTGTCTGCATTATTCTCCAAAAACCACAGAGTTCTGTGGCATCTTAAAACGTATGCCCCCAAAAATCTGTTAGTCTTTCTTGGATAACATCCATTTTGTCAGATCCAAAGTGTTTTTCACCCACAAAAGCTATGTTCAAAAAGTCTGTTGGTCTTTTATGGGCATGTCTACACTAGGAAATTATTTCAAAATAGTGTGCCCACACTACAGGGAAGCCTCGAAATTAGTTCGAGGCAGGCTCCCTTAATGTGGATGCACTACCCCAGGAAGCACTGGGGAGTAATTACTGTGAATGACTCTGGGGAGTAGTTATTTTGAAATAGCAGCAATGGAGTGTCCACACTACCACCATTTTAAAGTAACTTTCAAAATAAGCGTTATTCCTCCTGGAAGCCACGATTTATTATTTTGAAATAACCAGCCAATTAGTTCAAAGTAATGGGCTTGCTAGCTAGTGTGGACACTCTGATGGTTATTTCAAAATAAGGGGAGTTATTTTGAAGTAACTCCCTAGTGTAGACCATGGCTAAGGTGCCACACGGCACCTCATAATCTGTGTCTGCAAAAACAAGCACAGCTACCCCTCTGAGACTATATTACTTTGATTTATCATAAAGCATTTAATTTCATGTTAGTCTGTAACAATATTCAACATACCTTAAGGGTGCAAGACAATTACATTTCTTGGTTAATATCTCTAAGTGGGCATCGAACCAAAAATGGAAGATTAAGATAGAGCAAGGCAAATATAGCAATGAGTATTCTATTAAGTTCATTTTAATCTACATCAACCTCTTCATAATAAAACATGCTGAAGGGAGATATTAATCAGCCAAGGTCTAAATAGAGGCAAATAAAAGTCTACCCCCTCCACAAAGAAACAAAACCAATCTGCTTTCCACCCCATACACACAAACAACATAGGCCATTCAGTAGTATAATGCACTATACAGTTTATTGTACTGATTACCACATGTAGGACTAGCTGCCTTGTGGGAAGGTAGCATATAGGGACATGGAATGTAAATGCTCCACGGCCTTCAGAGTTTTGTCCTTAGTTTTGTCTCCACAGCATCCCCTTTGGTTTTTTTGCCCGTATGAAATAAACTAGACTTAAGAGCAGTTTTTGCAAGTATTGGTCATGAACAATTACAGGTGGATGAAGTCTGAGTTTGTCCCATATTATTTTCATGAAGTGCACTTGTGATTACTTTTAAACACTCAAATGTCAGTTCTGTGCTCTTCAGTCTTAACTTCTGTACTCTAATATTATGCATCCCAAAATAACTTAGTACACAACTTAGACACCTTTAAAAACTGTCTTGTTTTCAAAATGAAATACTCTTAAAGGCTGTTTTTACTTCCTCTTTTTTTTATTCTGGGAGATATAAATAGTTTTCACCTTCACATGCTATACCAAGTAATAATTTTAAGCAGACTTTACTGGAGAATTAATCAAGTTACCTGATCGGAGTGTTTTTGATCAAGTTTGTGAAGGAGTGAGAAAGAAGCTGAGTAAAATGAATAGAGACAAAGTTCCCAGTATATCTTGCTGCCAAAAAAATCATATAATTAAGAGTTATAGATCTCTCATATCCTCACTCCCTTCCAGTGCATGGTTCATTTTAGTCCACAAGTGTGTGCACAGGGTAAGACTTGAACACATTATATTTGCATTAGCTCTGTAGCAGTACTGGGAATGAGAATCATTCACCACACTGTAGGATTTAGCTGTACATATCTATTGATTACCACTGGTCTCAGTACATTTAATGCACACCAGTGTGAAAGATGACCACTTATTCCATTTATGTCTCCGTTTGCTCCTCCAGTTCAGCCACTCTGGGCTCCAGGCTTCCTGCAATTCCCCAGAGTGCTTCCTTGAGCTCTGAGACCGAGATAGCACGTCCATATTAATGGAGCCTGCCACTGACCCACAGACAAATCAGTATGGAAGATTAAGATAGAGCAAGGCAAATATAGCAATGAGTATTCTATTAAGTTCATTTTAATCTACATCAACCTCTTCATAATAAAACATGCTGAAGGGAGATATTAATCAGCCAAGGTCTAAATAGAGGCAAATAAAAGTCTACCCCCTCCACAAAGAAACAAAACCAATCTGCTTTCCACCCCATACACACAAACAACATAGGCCATTCAGTAGTATAATGCACTATACAGTTTATTGTACTGATTACCACATGTAGGACTAGCTGCCTTGTGGGAAGGTAGCATATAGGGACATGGAATGTAAATGCTCCACGGCCTTCAGAGTTTTGTCCTTAGTTTTGTCTCCACAGCATCCCCTTTGGTTTTTTTGCCCGTATGAAATAAACTAGACTTAAGAGCAGTTTTTGCAAGTATTGGTCATGAACAATTACAGGTGGATGAAGTCTGAGTTTGTCCCATATTATTTTCATGAAGTGCACTTGTGATTACTTTTAAACACTCAAATGTCAGTTCTGTGCTCTTCAGTCTTAACTTCTGTACTCTAATATTATGCATCCCAAAATAACTTAGTACACAACTTAGACACCTTTAAAAACTGTCTTGTTTTCAAAATGAAATACTCTTAAAGGCTGTTTTTACTTCCTCTTTTTTTTATTCTGGGAGATATAAATAGTTTTCACCTTCACATGCTATACCAAGTAATAATTTTAAGCAGACTTTACTGGAGAATTAATCAAGTTACCTGATCGGAGTGTTTTTGATCAAGTTTGTGAAGGAGTGAGAAAGAAGCTGAGTAAAATGAATAGAGACAAAGTTCCCAGTATATCTTGCTGCCAAAAAAATCATATAATTAAGAGTTATAGATCTCTCATATCCTCACTCCCTTCCAGTGCATGGTTCATTTTAGTCCACAAGTGTGTGCACAGGGTAAGACTTGAACACATTATATTTGCATTAGCTCTGTAGCAGTACTGGGAATGAGAATCATTCACCACACTGTAGGATTTAGCTGTACATATCTATTGATTACCACTGGTCTCAGTACATTTAATGCACACCAGTGTGAAAGATGACCACTTATTCCATTTATGTCTCCGTTTGCTCCTCCAGTTCAGCCACTCTGGGCTCCAGAGCCCATCCTCCCTCTCTGAAGGCCGTGGAGCGTTTACATTCAATGCTCCTATATGCCACCTTCCCACAAGGCAGCTAGTCCTACATGCTTTTGTGCAACTCTCAGCATTAGCCCAGGCATGGCCTCTCACTAATCCCATTAGCTGGATTGGTCAGGCGGAAGGGAAGCTGCAGTGCATGGAGCACCTTCTAGCTCCACTTCTTCCCTGAAAGCTGGATCTGATGAGGAGGCTCACGGCTTTGACCTCTCCCCTTCCCCCCCAACAGGAAGCTGGTACTGGCATTCCAACCTTGTAGGGGGCTGTAAAGTGAGGGTGGGGGCCGAGCTGGACCTGCAAAACATAAGAACGGCCATTCTCGGTCAGGCCACAGATCCATCTAGCCCAGTATCCTGTCTGCCAACAGTGGCCAATACCAGATGCTCCAGAGGGAGGGATCACAACAGGTAATCCTCACGTGATCCTTCCCCTGTCACCCACTTCCAGAGAAACAGAGGCTAGGGATACCATTGCTACCCATCCTGGCCAATAGCAATTGATGGACCTAACTCCCATGAATCTATATAGCTCTTCTTTTAACCCCATTAAAGTTCTAAACTTCACATCCTCCGGCAAGGAGTTCCACGTATTAGGAGTAGCCTCAGAACAAGGCTGCTGAGACAGAGGGCTATGTCTTCTGCCCTAGCAGTGACATCACAGAGGAGAATTTCATCAAAAGAGAACCTGGCAGCTTTGGAGGTAAAACTTTTCCAGGTGGAAAATGTGGTAACCTTAGTAAAATAGGTAGTAAAGGCTTAAGCCTAGGAATGGTAGACCCCGGAATAGCTAGCATGAGGAAGCCAGTCAAGGCCTTTATAATGCAGAGAGACAAGCAAGGAAATGTTAAGCTATGGCGTGGGAACATACCCTATTCTTAAAAACAAATAAGAATATTCAGGAAAAGACAACACCTGTTAAGACAGACATTGTCCTTTAAAGAACTCTGCATGTGAAGATGGAGAGGACATTGAGGCCTGGTCTACACTGGGACCTTAGTCTGAAGTTAGCACCCCCCCCCAGCTCGAATTTATAAGTGATGCGTTCACACTACTCAGCCTATTATTCCAGAACAAGGGGCCCTGGAATTTGAACACTGTAGTCCTGCTTTTTATGAGGAATAATGCTATTCCCAAACTTGTAAGTCTGAAATAATGTTCAAGTGGATGCTGTGGTGCTGCTAATTCAAACTAATTGTTCTCCAGCAGGCTTCCTGCAATTCCCCAGAGTGCTTCCTTGAGCTCTGAGACCGAGATAGCACGTCCATATTAATGGAGCCTGCCACTGACCCACAGAAAAATCAGTAATGGAGAAGTAAAAAAAATCCCTCCAAAAAACCCCAACCCTCAATTATGTACGCCCCCCACCCCTACCGCTACTGCATTGGAACACCTCACTTCCCTGGTGCTCCAGTCCCACGGTGGGGGAAGGGGTAGGGAGGACTGAAGTTCAAGGCCTCAGGCCAGAATAACTTTTCTGAGGTTCCAGGGTTAGTGGATTTTTGTGGGCCCCTTAGGCTCTGGGGTGGGACCAGAAATGAGAGGTTAAGTGTGTGGGACATAACTGCCAGTGCGTGGGATAGGGATGGGTGCAGGATCTGGGTGGGAGGTGTGGTGCAGGA